TTGAACTGCGGTCCCTGGGCTTACCTAAGCTTGCCTAAGCAGGCGCTTTAGACCACTGAGCTATCCCGCTGGCCCCTCCTCCCCTTTCTGTATTTGGTATAGGGTCTTGCTATACAATTCAGACTCCCAGTGATCCTCCTGTTTTCAGTCTCCCAGCACTGGGATTATAGGCACTTGACAAGCAGGCACTTAGTCCACTGAGCTGTCTCACCAACCCTCTACTGATTTTTTTTTTTTTTTTTTTTTTTTTTTTCTTTTTTGCGTGAGAGGAGGGGGCCAGAGTCCAAGCACAGAGATTAAATTGGGGTTTCTTTTTTTTTTTTTTTTGTGTAATCGAGGATTGAACTCAGGCCCTTGCGCTTGCCAGGGAAGCGCTTATTCCACTGAGCCATCTCCCCGACCCCAAAAAGTAGGGACGGAGGCACAAACCGGCGACCTCATGCCCTAGAGCCCGGCGCGGGAACCGCTGAGCCAGGTCGCTGACTTCTACTGATTGATTTCTTTGCTGTGCATAAACTTTTGGTCTGGTATAATCCAATTTGTTGATTCTTGCTGTTATTTCTTGTGTGAATGAGTTTCTGTTTATGACATCCTCTCTTCACCTATGTCTTCAAGTGTTTTACTTATTTTATCTTCTAGAAGTTTTAATGTTCCTGTTTTATTTTTTATTTATTTATTTATTTTTTAAATGGGATTTTTTTTTTTTTAAATTTTATTTATTTATGTATGTGTGTGTGTGGCCAGCTCAACCCACCAGGGGGCAGGCTGGCTGGCATGTGGTGCTGCGGGATTGAACTGCGGTCCCTGTGCTTTACTAAGCTTGTTTTAAGTAGGTGCTTTAGACCACTGAGCCATCTCACCAGCCCCAATGTTCCTGTTTTAATGCTTAAATGTTTGATTTATTTTCATTTTAATTTGGTATATGGCAAGAGATAAGGGTCCAGTTTTATTCTTCTGCAAACAGGTAACTAGTTTTCCCAATATCACTTGTTGAAAGCCTATCTTTACTCCAACATGTATTTTTGGTCCCTTTGTCAAGGATCAAATAGTAGGGACTAGGGACACAGCTCAGAAGCACCTACTTGGCAAGCGCAAGGTATTAGTACCAAGAATGGTCAAATAATTGAATATGTGTGAGGAGGCTTCTGTACCCTAAATTCTGTTCTATTGATCCACATGTCTGTTTTTATTCCAGTGCCATCCCATTTTTATCACTATTGCTTTGTACTGTAGGTTGAAGTCAGGTATAGCTATGCCACTTGTTTTGCTATTATTGCCCAAAATTGCTTTTGCTGTGCTGGATTTTTTTCTGGCTCTATATGGATTTTAGGACTATTTTGGGGATTGATTTCTTTAGGTCTATAATCTACACTGTTGATATTTTGATTGCAACTACACTGAATCTGTGTAATAGTTTTGGAAGTATGGCTATTTTGACAATATTTGTTCTGTCTATCAAGAGGAAGAGACATCTTTCCATTTTCTATTGTATTGTTCAGTCTCCTTCAGAGGAGAAAAAAAACTAGTTTTTCTTTGTAGAGATCTTTCACTTCTTTAATTATGTTAATTCCTAGATATTTCATTTTTCTTAGAGCTGTTGTGAATGTCATTGTTTTCTTAATTTCCTTCTCAAGGACCAAAATGGATAATAGACATTGGGAAGTAAGACAAAGATATTCAAATGGAGGCCGGGGAGATAGCTCAGTAGAATATGTGCTTGACTGGCAAATGCAGGGTCCTGAGTTCAATCCCAGGTACCGAAAAGAAAAAAAAAAAAAAATCAAATGGGAAGGAGAGAACAAGAGAGGGAGGAAAAATAAAAGTAGAAGGGAAAAATAGAAACAAATATAATGCAGTGGGGAGGACAAGAAGTGTTGGAGGGCAAGGGAATGGGAAAAAAAAAAGAGTCAATATATATTATGTATGGGTTCAAATTCCCTATGATGAATGTGGTCATATATATCAAAGTGTACCAACAAAATTAATTTTTTACAAAAGAAAACAGCCAGCCATCACCAGTATTTTCAGCCCTGGTTTCCTGCGCCATCTACCTGTTTACTGGTTCTGCACCTCACAAATTATTCTGGTCCCAATCTACCTGCCCATGCTTTTTTGCCTTGCTTTTGCATCTTACTGTATCTTGATTTTTTTTCCTCAATGCAATTCTCTCTTTGGCCTAAGAGAGACTGGGAAAAGTAGCAGCTTTTGATATGAATGAGTTGTTAATGGTGTCATTAGTGCATATTCTAGATGTATAAACAAACCACTTGGGGAATGAGCACTTACTCTGTCATCTGGGAAGTAGTTATTGTCTTCTTTTTCCAATAGACTAGGTGAACTTTTATGTGCTCAGGAATCAATTAATGATGGTGTTGGAAGTGATGATTAACTTACCTGCAAATCAGTAGCTTCATCTTCAGAGAGTAATGACTGAGATCACTATAATTAAGATCCTGAATTCTGAAGCCAATGTCCTGGGTCTAAATCCTGCCTGTGAAATTTTCTACTGTACTTTGAACTTGGTTCTTTTGCATGTCCATTGTGGGGGGGATGCTATGTAGATATGAAAGTTAAACTTTTTGATCACATCAAACTGGAAATATAGTATCAGCATTATTAATTCACTAGTCAGTCATCGTCATTCTTGTGGATACCGGCCCCTGCCCCAGTTCCTCTGTTTCCCCAGATCCTCCCCTTTGATTCGTGAATCCTTTTGTGTATTGTTTCAACCACATTATTTGTTTACCATATAGTCTAGTATTGTGCTACAAAGATGACAAATCCCGGATTCTACATTTAAAGATGGATGGATTAAAAAAAAAAAAGATGGATGGATAGATTGATAGATAGATGATATATACATAGATAGATAGATAGATACATACATACATACGTAGATAACAGAGACATGCAAACAAACATATTCATCAACATATTAAGGGTGCTGACAGAATTTTCAGGGCACACTGTAACATAAATGAGGTTATGGTGAGTTCTGCCCGGGGGCTCAAGGGAAGGAGAATGACAAGAAGTAGGGAAAGTCATTGTGGAAAAGGCTGGTGCTTGAGCTGACTCTTGGTACTCTGCTTCCTACCTGTGCCTTCAGGTCTGTCCCAATTCTGAGACATACCTACATAAGGTGAGGTTTGAGCTCTCAGAAATATCTCAAAAGAGCTCTCAGAAATATCACCCCACACCCTAGATTCCAGTGTCTAGCACATGATTTGTGTTCTCACTCTGCTGCCAACTTTATTATCATCATCAGTAATGGAATCAGCTTTTGTCTATGCCCAGAGTCACAGCTCTCTTGTCTGTATGCCCCTCTCTTCCATGACCCCCACAAAGCTCAGTTCATAGAACTAGGCAGTGTTCTTACAGGGGAGATGGTTCAGTAGAATAGAACTAGGCAGTGTTCTTGGCGATATATGATAACCAAATTGTTCCTCATGACATAAGCCTTCTTTGAACTCTAGCCCCATAGCTATAGTCTCTGCCTTACTACCATACTTTGCTCTTGCCAGCTCTTTCCTCTGGGACCTGTTTTTTACTTTACTAGCTGGGCATCCTGCTATCCTAGGAGTGAATGATCACCAGAATTGTCTCCCATTTATCCAGACCCATCTGAACTCCTCACAACAAGGACCCCATATAACTGGAAAATCTAGCACCAACCATGTCTGAATGCTAGTCAACTTGTAACCAAATTTGTTCCTTGACCAAATTTTATTTTATTGTGTTTTGTTTTGTTTTTTGAGACAGAGTCTCATTGTATAGTCCAAGATATCCTTTAACTCACTAGTACCCTGGGCTAGCCTAGTACTTGCAGCAATCTTCCTTGTCTCAGCCTCCTAAGCAATGGATTTACAGGTGTATGCCACTATGCCCACTTGGCCAAATTTTAATCAGAATCCTCTGAACCATCTTCTAGGCTTCAACTGATTTGTCTTTGGTCTGCTCAACCCAGTTTTAGTGAAAATGCTTTTAATTACTAAGTTTTAAAAGAGTCCCCCCAAACTTTTATTCCTGAGTATGCTTGATATCCAATGTACTCTCTCATCTCCCATCTTTGATATAAAAGTCTTTGACTTGCCTTTAGCAAGAATCTTGTTAGTCAGTTTAGCAAGAATTAATTCCTATCCTTGGATATACCTTAGTAATTTTCTATCCACTGACATACACCCACATCCATGTCTTTAGCTATAAATCTCCACTTTTGTTATATTAGGAATGGAGCTCAATCTATTATGCCTATTGACCTCTAGTACCATAGTCTTTTTTTTTCCCATAGTCTTGAATAAAGTCTTTACCATTTTAATAAGTATCAAAAAATCTTTATCTTTAGCATTTTTCATGCCCTACACAGAACTGTCGAAAGTCTATTGTCCAGGGGCCGGGGAGATAGCTCAGTGGAATACACGCTTCCCTGTCAAGCCCATGGCCTGAGTTCAATCCCCAGTTCCGCCAAAAAAAAAAAGAAAGTCTATGGTTCAGCTGCCCTTCTAGGTCATGCTGCCTCCCCTGCCTCTAGGAATCAGGTCTTATTCCAGGGCCTCAAACCCTCCTCAATAACCCCAAGTGGACACATGTAGCAACAGAGCTCTGGTAGAATCACCTGAAATTATGCACCTTTGTTCATTCAGTCAAATAATCAAATCATATGAATAAATGTAAATGATTTCTCAACATAAAGATGTTTTCAAAGACCTTTCTCATTGTATTATAGACATAAACAAAATACATATACTCAAGGCCTAAAGTAGCTATCTGGTGCTCTTTTGATTGAATTAAAAAAAAAATCATAATGGATGCAGAGCTTCAGTGCTCCCATGGTGCCATGCACATATTTGCTGGCTTCTTAGAATAAAGAATTGGCTGAAATTTTACCTCTTGCATTCCAAGCATGTTGTTGTTGTTAATAGAGAGATTTTATTGTTAAAGTCTCCTCCCCTAGGGTTCTGGTGATTTTTTTCATACTTTTCGTATCTTCTATTTGGCTTCAAATAAGGTAAAGGCTTGACAAAATTCAAATTGTACTGAACTATGTGTTGATTTCAGTTATGGAACTTTCCTCATGAGTGTCTTTTGTGAGAACCATTTCTGAAGCTCTTTGTAGGAAATGATGTGTTAACCACTCATTGGTTCTCATAGCTTTGCAATGGGGGCAAGGCCTTTCTCGGAGTTGTTGACTTCCCAGATTCTGGTGCCTCTGAGTGACTTTTCTCCTGTGCATGCTTTGTAGTGAGGGGTGGTGTTCACTTTCACTCTCCTTCCACGAAGAGGCTCCTGAGTCAGATTCTCCACTGTCACGCTCAGAGGTTTCACTGCCTTGTTGAGCCAGATTCACCTTGTGGGCTGCAAAATGGCGCCTGACTCGTCTTTGTTCGAGATAAGCATTGACCAAATCTACTTCTGAGTCAGTGATGGGGAAAAGTTGATTCTGTTTTGGTTTCTTCGTCATTTGTGAAGAGTCCACGCAACCACCTTTGTTTTGCCGCTGATAGGAATTTTCTTTGCTTGCTAACCAACAAAGCAAATGAACAAGTTAGGTTCACTGTTGGTACTAGAACTACACATCACCCATGAAGCCTATGGCATGAGTAGGCTCACACTTACTGATTAGCTGTGATGTCATTACCCTTCTCTAGTCATTTGCAAATACCAGATATTTGACTACATTTCCAATATCAGACCTATTATGGTTTGTATCCAGGTGTTCCCCCAAAGCCACATGTAGTCACTGGAATGGGCTTTAGACTGTGATTACTTCATGATCCAGTGCTGGGATTATGGGTGCTACACCCCGCCTGATCTGGGATGGATGCCTGTCTTCCTTATGTTGCATTCAACATAATCCCAGTGCTGCTGGGATTATAGGTGCGCACCACCATGCCCAGTCTCAATCATCGACTCAGCCCACTCCAGGGGCGGGGCCAGCACAACTGACCAGGAATCGAACCCTGGCCGCTGCACTCTGCCTAAGCAGGTGCTTTAGTCCACTGAGCTATCTGGCCGGCCTTTGTAGCAACCCTCTTGCGTCAGCCTCCTCAGTGCTGGAATTGTGCCACCACACACACAATTTAAGTTTAGAAATTTTATGGACATTGAAATATAAAGGGCCGCAGAGATGGCTCAGTAGAATAAGCGCTTGTCTGGCAAGCGCAAGGGCCTGACTTCAATACCTGGTTCCACCAAACAAACAAACAAACAAAAAGAAATATAAAATCACAGTACATGGAAGGCTGTAAAGAGGAGAGTCACTATGAGTCTGATCTAATAGTGAGACCCTGAACACCCTGTAGACCTGGCTTTAAGAATACAGAACAGAGAGAGAGAGAGAGAGAGAGAGAGAGAGAGAAAATATATAAAATCAAAGAAAAAGACCACCAAACTTTTCCAAAGAAGGGACTTCTTATCTCTGCCTGAGGTCTCAAAGATTCAAGTGCATTTGTGAATATGACTTGCATAGCAAGAACTAAGAAAGATTTTTTTCTTTAAGCAATGATGTGCTGGAATCAACTCGCACAAGTTCATAAGAGCTGATCAATTTTCGGGAATTCTATGAGATAAAATTTAAGACAGTCAAAACTAAAATTTAGGGGACCACCCGCTTGGGGCCCCTCCTGTCCCTCTCTCAGACAGAAGCTTTCTTTCCCCCAGTAAATATATTCTGCTCATTAAAAAAAAAAAAAAAAAACTAAACTAAAATTTAGCCAGGCATTGTGGTGTATACCTGTAATCCCAGTACTGGGGAGGCTGAGGCAGGAGTATCATCTCAAGTGCAAGGCCAGCCTGGGCTACCAAGTGAATTCAGACCAGCCTAAACTACATAACAAGATCCTGTCTCTAAATTAATTAATTAATTAATTAAATACATACAATTTAGTCAATCTACTTTTTAAAATGTAGAAATTACTTGATGGTCATTATTTCCTAGTTATTTACTACAGTTTCTGGTACCATAGGCTCTTAAGCTACTTACGTCTGTTGGATTTGGATATTGGAAATACTACATCAAGGTGTGCAACTGTGTGTCTCTCCCAACTCCATGTTCAATGATGCTGTGTTGGTAGCTTGAACTTAGAATTGGTGGGAGGATTTCTACACTGAAAATCAGCAAACACTAAAGATCAGGGCTTAATGTACGGCTGTGTTTGTTGATCGGCAGCTTTGATTTTATTTTTTGTATTGTGGTTTTTTTGTTATAATGCTAAGGATTGAACCCAGGACCTTCACACTGAACTACATCTCCAGCCTTTTCTTCTTTTTCTTTTTCATTCTTATTTTTGGGGGGTGTGCCAGGGATCAAACTCAGGACCCTGAGCTTGCCAAGCTATCTCCCCAGCCACTTATTTTTCATTTTGACATAGGGACTCACTAAGTCACTAAATTGCACAAGCTTAGCTTCAATTTGTAATCCTCCTGCCTCAGCCTTGCAGAGTGCAGGTGTACTTATAGGTGTAATTATAGGTGTACACCATCACAATCTAGTTTGAAGTATGATTTTGTTCACTGTCTAGGTTAAAGAGAACAATAGAGTTGAGTTCAAGTAGTAGTGAGTTCAAGGCCATCCTGAACTATACAGTGAGACCCTGTCACAAAAAACAAAAACAAAACCAAAACAAGAAAAAGCGATAGAGAGCATATGCTTCTAACCACTACATTGTGAATAAGATCCCAAAATGAAACCTATTCTTCCAATACTCTAAAGCTGTTATTCATTTCAGCAAAGATGCTACTCAAATCATGGACAACCAAGTGAAGTTTGAGCACACATCTTCCACTTCAATTTCATCTTACTTCTCGACTTTAAGGGAGATACAATTCATGCTGAAACTATATTTTTTAATCAGATGCAAACATGGGACATCTGAGGACATAAGAGTCTGCCAAAACTCAAGAGAAATATTTTATGGGACTCGGTTGTTTACACAGAATTTTCTTTTCTTTTTTAGGAACTGGAGATTGGACTCAGGCTCTTGCACTTTCCAGGCAAACACTTATTCTACAAAGCCATCTCCTCGGCCCCAAATTGAGAACTTTTTTTTTTTTCTTTTTGTGGAACCAGGGATTGAACTCTGGCCCTTGTGCTTGCCAGGGAAGTGCTTATTCCACTGAGCCATCTCTCTGGCCCCTGGATATCTTTTTAAACAACTTATAAGCAGCAGTGTTCTAGTGAACATTTAACAATGGACTCTTCAAAATATTTGTGTGTATATATGTATTTTAAAAAGTATTGATATATGAACTGGGTATGGTGCCACATTCCTGTAATCCCAGCATGCAGGAGGGTGAGGCAGGAGGATTACCACAAATTTGAGACCAGTTTGAGCAATGTGGTGAGTTTAAGTCCAGCTCAAACTTCATTGCAAGATTCTATCTCAAGAAAAAACATTTTTTTTTTTACTGACATAAAGGATGCATATCACAATATTTATTTATTTATTTATTTATTTGAGACAGGGTTTTGCTATGAGGTTCAAGCTGGCCTTCACTTTGTAGCCCAGACTGATCTTGAACTCGAAATGATCCTCCTGCCTCAGCCTCCCAAGTGATGGGATTACAGGTGTGTGCTACCACGTCCAGCCCTTACAGAATTCATAAGTAATAAAATACAGAAATTGGAGTCATTTATAGGAAAATGGATATAACTTGAGATTATAATGTTAAATGAAATAGATCAGATAATTAGCTTAAATATCTCCTGGTTTCTCTTTTACAAGAAACTTGACATAAAAAATCAAACAGAAAAATAAAAGCCAGGTAATAGGAAATAGGAAGATAGATCTTTTTGTGATGAGTTAATGTAAAACTAAGTGTAAAAAATTACTCAGCTCAATTTTCTGTGACCCTGCTTCCTTGTAAGACTGCAAGGAGGCTTGGTGTACTGTTGATAAATCATCAATATACTGAGAGTTCCTAAAAAAAAAAAAACAGTGCTCCCAGAAAAAATGTGTGCTGAGTAATGGTCACGCTGTCCTTAAAGGTACTGTCCTATGTTAAATGACAAATTTGTTTGCCAAACAGGATGCAGTTTCTGCCTTTAAAACCTCTATACTTCTAAGGCTCTTGGCCATTTGTCCTCTCCTGCGTGAGTATGGCCAAGTGGTCCTGGGCCCGATAATAAAAGGTTCATATTTAAATTTTAATTTTGGATTCTGGTCTGGTTTCTATGTTGAGAACCCATCACACTTTTGCAAATGGGAAGAGGACAAAGAGAAAGGGGGCGGCATGTGAAAAGAATTAAGACATGTTACACACAGGTAAAAATTCCCCTCAAGGAATATACTCATTATGAACTGCAAGCATGTACTAATAAAAGTAAAAATTAAAACATCAAAACAAAAAAGATGTGACATGCAGTTCATTTTTTGTAATAGCATCAACGATGAAAATGTGGGAGGGGTCGGGGCCGGGGATATGGCTCAGTGGAATAAGTGCTTCCCTAGAGGGCCTGAGTTCAGTCCTCCGAGGGGAGTGTAGGGAGGATCAGCAGGCAAGCCTAGGCTCCACCCTAGCAGTAACGAAAAGCTTCTGGGCGCTGGGGACGCAGCTGCATTCTGCCCTGCGGAGGACAGAAAAACAAGGGCGCAGGCCGCTAGGCCCTGGGCAGAGGCCGGTGCTGCAGGCCTCCCCTCCGTTGCTCACTGCCCAGCCCAGCGCAGCCCTCGGTCTTTGGTCAAAGCTCCACGCCCCACGCCCAGCGCGAATTGGCTCTCACCTTTATTTACTGGAGCGATCGTCCCACTCTCCTCATTCTGTTTATTCTCAGACATCTGTTTTAGAAATATTAGTTAGTAAGCATGACCTCAGGTGCTGTTTTTCTCTAAGACCTCCTTGTTGAGGAACAGGATTGTTTGAAGCCTTTGAGAATGACTAACTATGCAGCGCTCTTGTAAGTACTGAGTACTGACGGAGTTCCCGTGTGGCCCAGGCCTTGCTCCTGGTGTCTGTCGGGAAGACCACACTTTTGACAGCAGAACTTCCCAGACTCTTGAATCAAGCAAAATGACACAAAAGCAAGAGGGGAAATAACCCTGATGGGGAGCTATGGGTTACAGTTTGCCTGCTGCCTGCACTCATTCACAGTACGGAGAACTTTTATTTAAAAACAAATTTGAGGTAGGAATGGTGGCACACACCTGTAATACCAGGACTCTGGGAGGCTGAGGCATAAAGATTGCAAGTTTGAGTCCAGCACATATAATTTAATAACTTAGCAAAAGTCCTGAGTTCAATTCCCACTACCATGATAAAAATAAAGAAGAAAAAAATAGATTTGACAGTACTCACATGAGTTTACAAAAAAAAAAAAAAAAATTCAAGATCGTTTTATCAGGCCATGTTATTGATGGTTCTTTAAATAAGATGTCTAATGTGGGGCACTTACATATGCATAGCTCTTTATTTTTATTTATTTATTTTTACAGAGCTCTTTAATGTGAACTGAGGGACTCACTATCTCTTACTTTTTCAGATATTTTCCTCCAAATGCTACCATAATATTTTATCTTTGAATATGGAAATCGGAAGAAATTGATTTCCTTGAATAGTTCCAATGTCAAATATTCGTCCCAATACTCCATTAATATTTTTGTCCCATTTTTCAAATTAATGTCCCACTTTCTGATGATAAAAATGATTGTGCTAAAAGATACAAATATAAGCAACTCTTTTAGAGTATATAAAAAAATTTAGAATTATTCATTAACACCTTCTTTCTCAAGGAATCTGTCACCAGAGAATAATACCCTCACACATGGAGAAAGTTTGTACACAGAAATATTAATCACTGTATAGTTAGGATGCTACAAACACAAAACTTAAGCAATAGACAATATTCAAAGTTAATTATAGAGCTATAAAATTATAATAAAATAGGCTATAATGGAAGAAACTATATTTTAAGATTGGGCTAAAAATCAAGATGCAAACTTGTATATAATCATATCTTTTTTTTTTTTTTTTATTTTAGGGAAGGGTCTACAGGGTGTTCAGGGTTCAGGATCTTACTACTAGATCAGACTTGAGTGATCTGCCTGTTCACAGCCTCCCAAGAGCTGAGATTACAGGCACTTGCAACCACTCTGCAAGCCCCGGCAGCAGGCCGGCACTTCACCCCCGACTGGTTCTGAAACCCTGGCCCCTGCGCCTGCTTGCAGGTGCTGCAATCCATTGAGCTATTTGGCCGGCCCTATAACTATATAAACATGAGTTAGCTAGAAATATGAAAATAAGGCTTTAAGGAGCATATGTACAGAAGTGTACAATGGTTGGTTTTATATTGTAAAACGGTGACTTTTCCTCTTCTATTTATTTGAAATCATCTACAGTTAGGACAAAATAAATTTATTCATTCATTTTAGAAAGTCAAATTTTCCTTGGGTTGAGAAGTACCATAATTGGATATTTGTAGCAGCAATCCAACATCCCTGGCCCATTGCTTTGTTTGTATCTCTAATGAGAGATCACTTTAATTTTTGGAGTATAATAACCATTTTCTGAACATCTTGATTGAAGTTCTCTTTTAAGATATCATTGGGAGGGGTGTTCGGGTTTTTTTGTTTTGTTTTGTTTTTACTGTGTTGATTGTTGCTTGAGACAGGATTTTGCTATGCAGTTCAGGCTGGCCTTGAACTTACTATGTAGCCCAGATTGTTCCTGAACTTTTCGGTGATCCTCCTACCAAGTGCAGGATGATTGCCTTGAGGTCAAGGCCAGCCTGAATCACAGAGCGGGACCCTGTTACAAAACAAAAAGATATCTTTTTTTCTCCCCATTCTAAAAGATATCTTCTTTTTTTTTTAAAGAGAAATTCCCAGAAACAGTTTTTATTTATTTATGTGTGTGTGTGGCCAGCTCAGCCCACCAGGGGGCGGGACTGGCTGGCATGTGGTGCTGGGGGATTGAACCGCAGCCCCTGTGCTTTGCTAAGCTTGTTCTAAGTAGGTGCTTTAGACCACTGAGCCATCTCACCAGCCCCAAAAGATATCTTTTTTAAAAAATGTTTTGGGGCTCTGTAGATATGAAGTTTTGGGTTTTTTTTTTGTTGTTGTTTGTTTGTTTTTTGTTTTTTTTCGGAACCAGGGACTGAACTCAGGCCCTTGCACTTGTTAGGGAAGTGCTTATTCCACTGAGCCATCTCTCCAACCCCTTGATGTATTTTCTTATTATCTCCACATTTTCTATAATACGTACTTTTGTAATGGAGGGGAACAATGTGTATAAACATTTATTGAGCTTGTATCATTTCCACAGACATCTTCCTTCTGTGATATCAAGTCAAAAAATAGCCATAAAATCAAAAGGAAGATTTTGCATTAAGCTAAGTGGCATCATATGAATTGTGGTTACAAAAGCCATTTTGTTGCCTTTCTCTGCATGACATAGTGAGAGAGAACAGCAGCAGTGCCTGACCCGATTCAGTGATTTCTCCAAGCCATGTAACAGCTGTTTCCATATACGCAAAATACAGATTTTGGACTAACATTACCCAGAAAAATATAGCACTAGCAATCTGAAGAAACATTAAACAAATCTATAAATGAACCAGAGTATTTATGGTCTCTGAAAGCAAAGGGATAAATGCATCTTCAAATCCAGGGGAAATCAGCCCACTTCATGTTGGAGAATAATTATCAGATTTCTATGGCGCTTCAACCATGACTTCAAGGTTTGTAAATACAGGCTCATAGTTTAACAGAGAAAATGAAGAAGTTCAAAGGGAAGGAAAAACTCCATCCTCCTTGACCACTTTCTCATGTGCTTCTCAGGTTTCCAACCAGAGACCCTTCAGAAGAAGCACTCCAGCCAGTTATAGCTGCCACCAGGGCACAAAGTGAAAGAGGAAACCCCTCAGAAAATTAAGGTTTTAATCAGCACTGAATAGATTTAATTCCACTTTTCAAACTGTGCTTTGAAGTCAACAAATAACATAACAGGAAAGCTAAGTCTATTCCCCCTCCATTTCTCTGTCACTAACTGCTCCTGTGACATGGGATGAGTCACTTAATTTCCTTGGGCCTTATCAACACCACCACCACCATCATAATCAACAATGGAAGGCAGGGAATAATGGTATTTTACTTGCCTATAAACAGAGCGCTGGACCACAAGCTCTCTAGAGATCTAGCATTCAGGCCTTGAGGCCCCCAAAGAGCTGGCACAAGCAAGGGAGCAAAGGAATAGCTCACTCCTCTGACGTGGTCTTCATGATAAAAAGGTCAGTGAGCAATTTCAATTTTTCCTTAATTTTCTAAAGTAGCTTTTCCCTTCAATACCAGGCCTGCCATGCCACCCTGCCCCTGGGGTGCACTGAGGCAGTGATTAAGACTGGGTGTGGTGGTGCCCACCTGTAATCCCAGCGCTTGAGAGGCTGAAAACAGGAGGATCATCAGAAGTCCGATCTGTGTAGTGAGACCCTGTATATCCTGTACTGAAACAAAACAAAAAAAAAGTAGCCAGGGAGATAGCTCAGTAGAATAAGCGCTCGCCTGGCAAGTGCAGGGTCCTGAGTTCAATCCCCAGTACTGCAAAAAATAAACAAATAAAATAAAAATGTAAAAATTTCAAAAAAGGGCTTCTGTTGTGAGTGGCACACGTAGGACAACTTGATTGTTCTGTGTGCAGAATCGACATCAAGAGATTTCAGAAGCATAATTTTTTGGGACTTGGGCAGCTAGTGATCATTGGTCCTGGTGCCCTTAAAAAATAAATAAATAAAATTTTTTTAAAAGTAGCTTTTCTTGCCAGACCAGACTTCAACATACAGCTAGGGAGTCTAAGACACAGATAAGCTGTCACTATTCTAAATCTTTTGGTGAAGTGTTTACCTTAAGAAGCATTCAGGGGGCTGGGGAGCTAGCTCAGTAGAATAAGCACTTCCCTGGCAAGTGCAAGGGTTTGAGTTCAATCCCCGGTTGCAGGGGTGGGGGGTATGGTGACTCAATACCAGGCGTGGTGGTGCACGCCTGTAATTCCAGCACTTTGGAGCCTGAGGCAGAAGGATTGCCATGAGTGCAAGGCCAGCCTAAATTACATAGCAAGACCCTGTCTCAAAAAAAAACCCCAAAACAGTGACTTTAGTTCTATTTATTTATTTATTTGTGGTACCGGAGATTGAACTCAGGACCCTGCACTTGCCAGGCAAGTGCTTATTCTACTGCGCTATCGTCCCGGCCCAGTTCTATTTTTTTTTTTTTTTTTTTTTTTT